AAATAACTCATTTATGGCTGAGAAAAGACAATTTCTCAGTGAGGCCACCATTACACTTCTGTGCCAGTACTATCAGTGAGTGTCGGTACTCAACTTACTTCATACAAACCAGATAGGAAGGTAAAACTGGGTCTTATGCACCGCACAGCGTGATTTTATGTGATTCTGCCAAAGTTATGCTCAAGTAAATCTTCTGTTGGCACGGCTTTTGCAATTTAGAAGCAATATATGCAGCTGCTTAAGCATCGCATTGCTTCAATGTCTTATTCAGAGTATTTGAAAGTCAGAGCTAAAGTAAAAACATAGTAACAAGGAATGTAGAGACTTTTTTCTATCAGATCATGTGAAAATTTGTCTAACATTATAATTATATCTACGAACGAACTTTCGATAGATTATTTGAAAAATATCTTCCCCTGTTTCAGTGACAAGATTAAGTCGGCGTAGAGTTTTACCTGTTTGGTCTGATCTACTGATTCTTACACCCAAACGAGGTCCGTTTAACCTTTTTGTTTTATCAACAGATCATTTATCATCTTGGTCGCCTGTTGTTTGCTGGATCTATTCAAGCACTGATAATTCAACCCTGACACTACGCACGGAAACGTGTCCCCCATTTTCAATTCAGTTTATTTGCTCTACTTGTCATGTAATGAATACACTTTGGCAGCTGCTGTCCATTATAACGATACATGCAATGTGGTCCATAAAGTACAACTTTTCGTAGTTGGCAACACGGAATAACTCCCCTATTGTTGATCGGAAGTCCGGCTGAAAGGGGAGAGATGGAGTGTGTGGGAAGTCTCTTACAAAATTAAGCGACCTGCCACTCATAGTATTGATGCTATCCAACTTTGTGTCTGACCGGTCATCAAGAGCGGCACACGTTGTTGGGGAATTGTGGCGGAAAGTAAAAAGCCAAGACCAAAACCTGCACCACGCCTTTCGACAGCTCGTTGTGCAGCAACAGGGCGACAGCTGTCGAAGACCTACGTGAGGATGACTACGATCCCGGTCAACAGCGGAGTCAACAGCTACTCGTTCTGAACTGAGGAAGCAGGCGGCACCATACGATCGCAACATGTTTGATATAACTTCTAAGGTACGATGCCGACAGTAGGAGCTCACAATCAGAAATTGGAACATTTCCTCCATAAGAGGAAAAGAAAACTAGACAATAAGACCGCAAGGTACATACTGAATGTACTTCAACTATCAACAGCGAAGCGCCAGGGATCTGGAATTTTGAACCTCTGCTGGTGGAAGTTGTTTTACTCAGGTGTCGTCCTCAAAACACGAGCGCACCAGTGTTGATGTCCTGGTAGAAGCCAACCTGACTAACAGAATCACTGAATGCAAGCGTGTCAGGGGAATAGTCGCTATCCTTTTAAGTTATAACAGGCTATACCTATGATATTGTCATCACAAGTTTATGTGGAAAACTCAGATGGAAAGTATGAGTTCTTTCTGGACCAAAGTGTCAGTTGCTCTATGCGAGTGCCGGACATAAAATCTATCATTCAAAGGGAGATTACAATGCCCTTGTCAAAGCAGACACTGAAGGTGTGACTGGGAAAAGCGCCAATATCGATCTCAGAGTATCGGCAATAACTATATAAGATATCTCATATTTGTGCAAGTAATAAATGAATACATTTGTTGAACAACGACGCGTGCATAAATATACCTGTTATAGAGAAGCATGTGCACAGAAGTCGATGTTTGAGTTGATAATTGTACGGTCGACTTAATATGTTCCATAATAAGTGTTCGCGTTAAGGGAGGTGCATAGATGTCAATCGATCATGACCCTGTTGCATCACCCTCCCCTGTAAACGATGAAGTGCCGTGTGAATATCTGGCAACATAAACAACGAGAGAATAAAATAGGAAAAATTATATTCCGGAGATGCTAGCGCGAAAGATGCAAACATCATCGCATGGTTGTATCAGATGATTCCAGTAATGACGGGTCACGTGGATTCCGAATGGAAGCTCTTTAAGGTGAATTATTCGTGTCTGCTGCTGAATGCTCCAGTTTAAGACACGTTGTATTGGCTGTACGGGTTCAGAAACGAACTTCCAGGTAGACAGCAGTGGTTAAGCGGCTGCCAGTGAGAAGAGGCTGTATTCAAAGGTGGCTTAAAAGCAGGTAAGCTTTAATTTGAAATCGATGTAAAGAGGCGTGTGAGGCTGTAGCTAAAGCATTTCCTAAACTGAAAGCTGATTCCTGAAAAAGTTCAGTGATGAGCTGGAGTTGAATTTCCAAACGGAAGGGAAACATCCATCTCTGTGGGGGGGAGGGGTCATTTTAAGATTTCTGAAGGAAATTCTGGCTTCCTTATTAAAGAGAAAAATTATATACTTCGGTTATTGAGACGTTAGTTTGCAGAACTTCTGAAATTTTAACAAGCACAGGAAGATTCGCCTGAAGAGCATCCAGGAGCGTATATTAATTTTTAAGTTGATGAAGTCCCAGAAACTGCAAGGCTACTGAAATCAATGAAATGCACCATGAGATGCTTAAAGATTTTGGCAGATATCATGGGACGTTGTGAACAGCAGGTGTCTGTCAAATTGCGATTAATACGTTCACGACACTTGTAGGCCGGAGAACTATGGTGGTAATATCCCAGTTCAGAATGAAGATCATAGTGAGTCCCTAATTACCAGCATATTACTTGACTGAGCCTCCCAGGAAAAGTTTGCGTAAAGATGTTAAAAAGAAAGTCCCGCGGATTTGCTGATTCCAGGATCCAAGAAGATCAGCGTGGCTTCAAGCTAGGCCAAAGCATCTCTGACAAGATCTTCGCCATACGCCGCATTATTGAAAAATATAAACGTGGGAGTTCGCATATCCGAATTTCAAAGTAATTGCCAATTGTTTATATGTGTTGTAGACTTGGAGAAAACTTAAGAACGACTCCCTCGCAACAAAATACAGAAGTGTTGCTTAAGATAAATAACGTTAAATCGAGACCCTGCAACCTTGGCACTGTACTTCACTAAAGCTGCGTTCTCTCCTCTCTCCTGTTTGTGTTGTTCATGGATGGGATTGTTAAACGCAGCCTAGGTGACGAGTATATCTGTGTAGTAGGAGTGGAGCTGAAACGTTTGCTGTCTTCAGCTTGGTTTGTTGACATCTTCCGAAACTGTTCAGCGACGTTCTTTGGAAATAGAGATTGCTAAGTGCAATGTGGCCGGTATACGCGTATAAAACCAGAAGTTTAGTACCTTGTCGTTCATTTCTCCAGTGTGGTCTGAAGATAAACCTTAATGAGAAATTAAAAACTCCAAGGGGTAGCTTTGTCACATAAAAGTCAGCATGAATCCCATTCATGCATTCATAAGAAGACAGGTCTGAAGAGTATCGCTGATACGTTTTCCAGGTGGAGAACGATGGACTGAAAGAAAGAATTTAGCCGAGGACGGAATTTTGAATGTTGAACCTTTCCTAAGCTGTTACCGTCCAACATATAAATGACAACGGTGCAAAGCAAAGGTCAGATTGCAGAATACCTAGCCATGGCAAAAGTCACCGGTTTTGACAGAAAATTACTTTGCATTGAGTGATTGCCAATTTTGCTGGTTTTATTTTATTTAATCGTAAATGCATTAGAGGAAGTAGCCAGACTCGTTCTCTGAAATGTGCAGAAAGTCAAATCGCGGCAGGTGGTGGTACACACCGGGGACATTGTAACTTTCAAGCGAACTGGATTTGGAGTTCGATTTGTGATCTCAGCGTATCACGACGTCTCTTGCACTGGCATAGTGAAAACGTACTCAATGGCGATTTTTAAGAATGGCAAGGACAAACGGAAGGTGGCACATGATACACGTCTACGTCGCATTGAAAAAGTATAATTACATCGCACAATGACATGTCTGCGCTACTCTTTACTGAAATTGTGTCGAAGGCTGACTACGGAATTCTTGTTTTACGTGCAAACAGAAAAGCGTCGGCGGACGTGCTTCCGATTGATCGGTCGGCGGTTTCCCTGCTGATACAAGTGAAGATCTCGGGTGTCAGCGCAACAGCGGTGATGTGGAACTCAGGTTCTTGTTCTGAAGCGGTGCTACCCCGTTACTATGCCCTTCTATCTTAGTTCATCGAACCCGGCTACGTCGATTACGAGAAATAGTTCGCTAACTGGGTTAACCGTTCTGGCACGTCCGTTGTCACTGCCGTCAGCGTAGACATGAGACGTTTATAGGGAAGGGCTCGGAGTGTGAGTGCAGAGACGAATTTCCGCTGAGCATCTGGCAGGTGAGAGGTAAAAAAGCGGTGGCACACCGCGCCAAGACATCGCTTGTTTAGCGCCACGTTCAAATCATCTTCAGGACGGACACGCAAAAGGTCGTAGATGTGCGATCCATGCCGACGAACAAGGACATCTTTCAGAATCGTGTCGACGACGACGACGACGACAGCGCGCGACCTAAATTCTTCTGCGCCTTACGTAGGGTGGAACTGAAAGAAAAGCGGGATATCGAGTTATGGACTGTTTGACTGATGCTGTTTGATGATAGCGACCGACCGTCATTCGTTCGTTTGGAAGTTTCCAGAACGACAATGATCGACTGAGAGAGGTTGCCATCACCGGCTGACTCAGTGCGATGCAGCAATTGGACTTCAACGATGCCTCGCCTTGACTTTTGCCGTACCGGTTATTTCGTTCTGCTGCCGTTCTGCTTTCCCCTGACTCCTCCAAAGGAAGTGGGCGTGGCGGGCCACCAGTCCATTTAGCGTTCAAGGCAGTTCCGAGCTTGAAATGACCGAAATGACATTTTCTTTTGCTGTTTATTTCAATTCAATACCGACCGTAATTCAAGGAAAAAATTTGCCTAAACGTGGTCGTAAGCAGACTCAGCGATTCAGCTGCCACCGAGGTGTGCCGTGAGGGAAATCGAGATTTCATGCAAATGTCTCTTTCGATTCGGCTCTATCGGTTTCGTAAGATCTGAATGGCCGCCAGGCATCAGAGAGGACTAGGGCAGACATGTCTCGAGCCTGTTCTCCACCGGGTACTGATGTTATTGTTATGCGCGTGTATGTGTATGGCGTTTGCGCGATAGAGTCAGCGAGAAGAAGGCAAGGCAAGACCGACATGCCGCTGGCGTGTGATCGTTCATTTCTGCGTCGTGAACCTGATGATGAGGGTGTGCGTTTTATAGCTCGTACGCTAGGCCAGCGCTTCCTGTGCACAGTGGCCGACGACGGACGGACGAACAACGGACGTACGCTGACAATTGGCTCACAGTTCAGACGTGCGACAGAACCCAGATCGTGATTGGGCTAGAAGAAGCGACATTAAGGTGGCGGTGAGCAGCAGGGGAGAGCGGAAGACGAAGAAGCATCTGCGTTTCAGAGCCACATTCTCAGGCATGCCGTCGAACGAGAAGCACGGAC